GCCTGAGAGTCAAGTTTCTGGGCCCAAAAGGAACACAGTGAGCCTAAAGACTTTAGAAAGAATTAGATGGCCCAGGAATTTCAGAACACAAAACTATAATATTTACCATTTATAAATATTCATTCTGCTATGCTTCTCACTTAATTCTTGTGAAAGCCCTATTAGCACCCATTTCAAAGATAAAGAAATTAAGGATTAGATAAATGAAATAACCTATCTCGATAGGTTAATAAGCCCTTTCCAGACAAGAGTGTTGCTGTGGAACATGTTTAGATTGAGCATGTAGATAAGATAAGCTTTCAAGTATCTGGTTTTTCATAGAATATATATATATTTTCCATCTATCCTCTGGTATCTTGTTTTTAAGAGTTCTATACTTTCTTGACTTCGGTTAAAATGATTACACACCAATGCCTAGACTCATTTTCAGAAATATGTAAATCATTTAAAGCACCAAGATAAATTTAAATGTCGTGATTAAGCCTGTGTTTAAACACATTTTTCTAGGGCCTGAATGTTTTAAAATGCTTAAACATGGGGGGAGAGCTCGATTTTTAGAATGATTCTTACAATTAAATGCTTAGTTTTGTTTTCTTCTTGACTTAAACTCCTCAAATTAAGTCTTTTAAAACTAGAATAAAGATATATATACCCATAACAAATTAGTGTTAATTGCACTTATGAAACACAGCATTTAAGTCTCCTGATAAATCTTTTCTAGAACTAAACTCTAACATTTTATATTGTAACAAATTTGTGGGGTATTCTGCTTGCCTCATTGTTTTCTGTCTCCATGCCTATTTTGCTATGCAGAAGCTTTATGTCAATTTACTTTTTGAGCCTTTTAAGACTGAACCAAATTATTCCTTCAGCACATTTTAAACAATCCCTTAAAGACCTCTTTTTCTTGGCTATGTTTCCAATCTTGGCTTATCACTATAATATTTCATGCTCCATGCTTCTGAAAAAATTCAATATTCAAGAACAAAGTAATCCAGAGCTTTACTTCATTTCAGTCTTTTTATGTCCTAGGGCTGTCCCAACTCAATGACCCAGTTTTTATTGTGTCACATCTCTGTGTCTGTTGCTGACTGTGACCAGCTTTCCTAATCTTTTTCCTGTCCCTTATCGGTTTTCCCTTAATTCAAAAATCTTTTTTTTTTTTAAATTTTAATTCTTTGCACTTCTCCTTCCAAAGCGTTTAGATTTTTTTCCTCGTTGGGAGACTCAGTGTTTCTGTGGTAGCTACTCAGAAACACAAATATGAGTGGGTAACTGAGGTCCACAAGTCTATCCGTGTCAAAATTTTTATTATACCGTCTTTAGAATTGTGGGTGGTGAATGGCAGAAAGTGGATATTATAATTTGGCAATATGCATCAAGGGTCCTTAAAAATGTTCATACCCTATGATCTAGCAATTTACTAGCTTATTAATTAAAAAGAATCATCTAAGGTGTGGAAAAAGCCGTATGTATGAGATATTCATTACAATGTTATGTATAAAAGCAAAGGAAGAAAGCAACACAAATACCCAACAACAGGAGAGAAGTTAAGTTACTGCCTGTCTACGCGATGGCATATTGTACATTAACTGAAGATGATGGTTGTGTGACTATGTAGAAAGGTGGGTAAATATTTATAATGTTCTCATAAAAGCAGGCTATAAAATTTTAAGTGCTGATGATCACAACTCTATTTTAAAAAAGAATTTACAAAGTGAAAACTGCAAAGAAACATGACATTAATAGTTGTTCTTTTAGGGTAGTGGAATTACAGATGATTTTTCTTTTCTTTAATCTCAAAATCTTGATTTAATTTCTTTTAAAATTTAAGTTTTCAAAAGCTATGTTTTTAAAAAAAATATATATCTTTAAAGATTTCAGAGAGAGGAAAGGAGGGGGAGAGAGAGAGATAGAAACATCAATGATGAGAGAGTCATTGATCGGCTGCAGCCTGCAACCCGGGCATGTGCCCTGACCGGGAATCGAACCCTGATCTCCTGGATCCTAGGTCGATGCTCAACCGCTGAGCCACGCCTGGCCGGGCAAAAAGCTATCATCTTAAGTGATGCAAATTAAGAATGATTTAGGTAGGTTATGTCAAGTAAAATTTATAACAGACTATTTCAGAGGAGGGGAGCATTCAATAAGACAATCAGTGTGTCATTTTACCATTGTGTGTAATCCCCAAAAGAATGAATTAGGAAAAACATTTCGCCACCTATTTTGAAATGTAAAACACGATTATTTTTTGAAACTTTAGTATGTTTGACTTAAATTTATTTTACCGCCACTGACTTCTCTAGGCCAGCTTGTTCTCTCTGAAGTTACTTCATCAAGTTCATCCTCTAGTCCAACCCTTTGAATCCACTTTCCACACTGTCTTCAGAGAGAGATCTTCCTGAAACCTGAATCTGTTTGTGGTATTTCACTGTTTATACTATTCAGGGATTCAGAATATTAAAATCTTCAGCAGAGCTTACCAGCTCCTCCCAAGCTTCTACCTTATTCGGCGCCCTCTCTGTTCACGCACCCTTCCCACAGGCTTGACCAAACTGCTTGCAATACCTGAAACAGTGCTCAGTCACTATCATTTGTCTCTTAATACTGGAATTAACACTGAATACCCACTCATTCTCCAAAGCTCGAGCGCTACTTTGTTTAGGAAGGCTTCCCAGATGCATCTTTCCTATGTCCCTTCTCTGTAACCCTACAGTGCCCCCATCACACCGCGCTTTCAATGCTTTGCTTATCTGTCTTTTCAGTAACTTTCACTATTGTGTGGACAGGCAAGTGTGAGTGAATATATATTTTTAAACTTATTTTGCTAAATGTATTGAGGTGACATTGGTTAATACGATCATATAGGTTAATAAGATCATATATGACACATGATCTGTATATTGCATTGTGTGCCAACCACTCAAATCAAGTCATCTTCTGTCACCATACATTTGGCCCCTTTATCTTTTACTACCCTCCTACCCCCTTCCCTCTGGTAACCACCATAACATTGTCTATGAGTTTCAGCTTTATATCCACATAAGAGTGAAATCATACGGTTCTTAGCTTTTTCTGACTGACTTATTTTGCTTAGCATAATGTTCTCAAGGTCCATCCATGTTGTCGCAGGTGGCAGTACTTCATCTTTTCTTATGGCTGAGTGGCATTCCATAGTGTGTATTCATCACATCTTCTTTCCCCAGTCCTCTGTCGAAGGACACTGGTTGTCTTCACATCTTGGCCAACTCTGAGTAATGCTGCAATTGACATAGGGGTGTATGTGTTCAACTGCACCCCCATCCCCTCCCTGTGCTCCGACAATGAGAGGAACAGTGAGTGCTCACTGATGAAGAGGAAGGGCCCGTGCACTAACCCAGAACACTTAAGAGCTAGGAACAAAGAGGAGACATGCTGGAAGCCAAGGTACTTATCAGGTAGAAACTCCTTCAGTGCACCTCCCTGGTGAAGTCAGACTTTTCTACTTTGTCTTAAGATTGTCTTGCAAATATTTTACCCCTCACATGGGAGTACATCTTATTTGTCTATGAACCCTCTACTATTCCTTGCATATACTAGGCATTCAAATATATGTTGATTAAAATCCAATTTTAAAAAAACATTCTGATTTACAGAAATTTACATCTACCTTGTCTGTGATGAGAAAGACTCCGAAAGAAAAAATGTGAAACACCAAATATTTGTGAAGCTAAACTAGGAAGGTTTGGAACAGTGTTATGAACCCCTGGAGAGAAAGATGTAATATAATTAAGGATAAACAAACTTATTCAAATAAAATAAAGGACTCCCCAAATTCCAAATATGCTGACATGTAAATATCTTCTCAATGTTCATATGCTTGTATATGGAACTAGGTATACTTCAATAGAAAATATTGGTTAAGCCTAACACAAAATCATGGTTTTACTATTTAGATGAAAAAACAAATGACTTTGTCATGTTCTCAATTGACTTTCCTAGTATCTTTTTCTCCACCTTTATTAAATCTGCATTTTAAGCAATACAGTTATTACAGCAAAAAAATTTTTTGGAGAATTTTAATAAATCAAATTTCTTTTTCCAAAATTTTTACAGTCTTTGACATTTTTTAATGACTCCAGTATTTTAGCTATTAATCTCTTACTCCTAAATTAACATTTAAATGTATCAGAGTCTCTACTATTTAAAAAAACCTCTGGAAACAACTGTTAAATAGGAATGTCTTTCTTGATCATTCCCTTAATTTATCTGCTGTGTAGACTTAGTGTTCTTATTTTATATTTTTTTACAGGATCACCCATCTAGTTCTATCTGGAAACAGATGCAAAAAAATATGTTATAGAAAACTTTCCACACAAAATTCTACTTTGAATTTAAAATTTTTGAGTATATACCTAGTGATTACTTTGGTATGTGGGAAAGGCTAATCTGCCAGTGCATGGGATGGCGGGGGCGGGGGATACCTTTGAACTGTGTAATAAGAAAAACCAGAAATAAAACTGGCATAAATAGTTTGGTCTGGTGTAATTAAGAATAGGAACTGAAAACATTTTTAAAAATTAAGCAATATAAGAATAAATAAAGCAAAACATGGAAATCCTAAGATGAGCATGAATTATAGAGAAGGGAAATTGGAAAGAACAATTTTAATGTAGCTACAGTTGTTTCTCAGTAAAACACCCTACTTATAAATCCACATTTTCCTACAGTAAAGAAGAAAAATTACATTTGTCCCTCCTCATCTGATAATTTATTTGCTTTCTGCAGTTTCAGTTACCCATGGTCAACCATGGACCGAAAATATTAAATGGAAAATTCCAGAAATAACAACTTGTAAGTTTTAAATGGTGTCCCGTTCTGAGTAGCATGATAAATCTCCCGCTGTCCTGTGCTGTCCTGCACGGGAGGTGAAGCATCCCTTTGTCCAGTGTCTCCACGCAGTTGATGCTGCCCACCCATTAGTCAGTTATCAGATTAGCTGTCATAATATTGCAGTGTTTGGGTTTACGTAACCCTTATTTTACTTAAGAATGGCCCCAGAGTGCAAGAGTAGTGATGCTGACAATTAAGATACGCCAAAGAGAAGCCATGAAGTGCTTTCTTTAAGTGAAAAGATGCATATAGTACAGTACCATGTTTTGAGAGAAACCATATTCAAGTAACTTTTATTACAGTTTATTGTTACAGTTGTTCTATTCTATGTTATTGTTGCTAATCTCTTACTGTGCCTAATTTATAAATTAAACTTTACCATAGGTATGTATATGTATATAAAAAAACATTGTATACATAGTGCTCAGTCCTATCTGAGGGTTCAGGCATCCACTAGGGCTTGCAGATAAGGGGGGACTACTGCAGATAAGGGGGGACTACTGTATATCCCTTAAGATAATCTTATAATCACTTAAAAATAATATTCAGATACACCCAAGCAATTTTGCTCTTACCAGAATTTTCTTAAATAGGTTTTCCTATTAGCAAGGGAACATGCTTATTTAAGATCATGAGTATAGTCTCTTTGGTCACCTTAGCTCTCACTATGGATTAATAGGCACTCTGGTTTTCAAATCAAGCCTCATATGAATTTACTGGGTATGAAGCAGTTCTTCAGTGAATAATGATATAATAGATGAAATCGCAAGGATTAATGAGCTTAGTACAGTGCCCACTACATAAAAGGCTCTCTGCTACATATTTTTTTTCCTTCTGTCACTTGCAACTCTCTAATAAAAATAAGCCCATGGCCCTCCCCCCCCCAAAAAAATGTACAAGATAAGCATGACTTGTTATAAATACTTTACCATAAATATTTTATAATTTATTATAAAGACATTTTGCACACCAGCACCACCATAAATACTGAACATGGTTTTATGAAAATTACAATTTTATTATAAAAATACTTCCCAAATACCATGATAATCCACTTGTTTTCTTCTTACCCTCAGGATAACAGCTGAAACTAGGGTTATAATTTAACCCTAGCAGCCATGAAAATTTGGTGTCTTGGTTTACAAATGTAGTCTAACACACCAGAATATTGACAAGCATTTCCATGTGCTTCAGGTGTACTGCCAAGAGATGGATAGCTGACAAGTTTAAAAGAAACAGACACATTTCTAACTAGAAATGTTACAGTAAAGCTGGTAAACTGTGACCACCAACATGAAATTCTGCACACCTGAGAAAGTTAACAACCACGAAAAAATTAAGATATTTGGCATCAGGCTTCAGGGTTGACTTACTGCTTTCATGCGCTGTGCAGTCCGTCACTGCCCTCACCTTGGGATTTCAGAGCCAGAGAGTGTACAGTTTCAAACACTTCCTTTGTTCTCTTTCTCACGCTAGATCTCTGATGTTTTCCTAACTTGCAGTCTTCTAGAATGACCTTTCAGATTCTCAATAAACAGCACTGGGTCAAATCTCTTCTATACAGGACCTCATGGTCCTCATGCCTGCTCTATCTGCAGAGAGCCGATCAAAGTCTTGCAGGTGGAAACGAGTTGCCAACTGATTTACCATTTTCTTCAAGGTAAGAAATGCTGAAACAGCTTGGAAAGTAAGGAACATGGTGAAGACGATGTGTATCGCTTTTTCCAAGGGCAGGTTCAGTAGTCCTTCATTAAAGAGCAAGAAAAGAATTAAAGGCAACTGCAGTAGAAGACTCAAAAGCCAAAAGCCAGCTAGCTCAGGAACCTGAAATGACACACGTTACAAGAAATCAGATCCGTAAAGTATACTCTTTTGTTTATACAGATAAGTAAATACGTAACACTACTGTGAACCTTCCCTGTGGGCTCTGTCACTCAAAAGGAGTATAATTTGGTTGTTGTCTTCAGAGAATTTACAGTCTAGATTAGAAGAAAAAACTAACTTGCGTGATAATCCTAGAATACTACATCTCAGTGAATAATTAAATGTACCACTCAGAAATACAGGCTAACTGCTATAAGAAGTAAGACAAGAGAGTGATTAGGGTAGATGAAAGAATTCAGGATGTAGGCTTTTAAAGTTGGGTAGAAAGAGGAAGAGGCAAGAAGGTAATTAAGCAAGTACGTGGGATGAGCCTGACTGGGAGTCAACATGTCAGCCTAGTGGATGCTCAGTTTAGGAAATAGCAGGAAATGCAGCGGGATAGGCTGGGTGGGGCCTAATTATGAAGGGCCTAGAAAACCTCACGAATCTTTAGAGTTATCCCTAAGCTCTGGTAACTAAGTGTAAATGTATAGGAAGCAAGATGATTTAGAAAACACATGCCCAGCATAGGAAATGGGTTTATAATTTCTCCTCATTTTCTTTTAATCCTTACCCGAGCATATGTTTTTATCAATTTTTAGAGAAGAAGGGAGAGAGAGAGAGAAACATCAGTTGGTTGTCTTCTGACTGGGAATCAAACCCACAACCTTTTGGTGTATAGGAAAATGTTCCAACCAAATGAGCCACCTGGCCAAGGCCCCCATTTTCTTATTCAGGATCCAAATAAACATGTTTAATTGACAAAGTATTTTCAAGACTGGTGAGAAGAGGGAAAATTACCGATTCTTAAGTGTTCAGGTACTTTATATAAAGTATTTCATTTAATCCCAACCAGCTTGTGAAGTAAATATTTTCCCCATTTATTATTTATTTATTTTCCCCATTTTACATATGAAGAAACCAAGGCTGATGAGATTAAGCAAACAGGCCACAGTGACCAAAGACGTAAAGTTGGAGCCAGGCCTTAACTACAGGCCTTTGCTCCTTCCACCACAGCTAAGTGCCCTTTCCTTGCTATGGAAACCTTTGTCCGGCCAGTGTGCCTGAGTGGTTGAGCGTTGACCCATGAAGCAGGTCGTGGCTCCATTCCCAGTCAGGGTACATGCCCGGGTTTCGGGCTCGATCCCCAGTGGGGGGCGTGCAGGAGGCAACCAATCAAATATTCTCTCTCATCATTGATGTTTCTCTCCCTCTGCCTCTCCCTTCCTCTCTCTGAAATAAGTAAAAACATATTAAAAAAAAGAAAAGAAAATCTTACTGCCCTTATGTGCATCACTGAAAGAAAGAAAAGAAGAGCCTACCTTTTCCTGTAGGTTACCCATGTAGCCCAGATACAGCCTGATAGCTTCAATTAAGGTTATTAGGATGATAACAGTCACCACAATGAATTTGTAGTAATCAGGCAAAATTGGATACTAAAAAAAACAAAAATAAACATATTTGTAAAATCTCACACATAGCAAAATTGACCTGAGATAGAAAAATAATATTAAGAACTTTAATTTTACTGACAATGTAACAATGCCAGGGATAGGCAGAAGAGACCTTGGCAGAAGTATTAAAGTATAATCTTACTTTCATTTGAAGCATCATAATGCAGCTCACCCACCAAAGTGGGAAAAAGTAAGCATTAAAATAAAGTGACATCTGCAATGCCAAACTGGAAACCATTTCATTATCTACAAAAGAAATAGAAAAAGGTCAAACTCTTATTCCTGGTCAATGCCCTATAAATCCTTTAGTCCTTTAGAATAACTATCATATTCGCTCAACAAAACTCTAAATTTAAAGCCTCTTTATAATCACTGCCAGTGCAAGGAAATATTCAACATCATTCTATTTAGTTCATATATTGGCTCCTTGGTGGTATGTTTCAAAATTTTCAATTACTTTAGTATTTTGCAGTACAGTCTGCTGACTTTTTGCACACTACTGGTATAAATTAAATGTAGAATATCAATATAAATCCTATTGAGACACAATAATTATTATTACTGCCTTTGTAGAGTTCTATGTAAAGAGCCCATAAAATAAACACATAAAATACATAAAAACTACTTTCTCACATATGAACTAATATCATACAAATGAATCTCCCTAAATTATAATTAGACACCCCCCCTTTTCAGCATACCCTAATCCCACCCATTCATTAATACCCAATTAAACGCCACTCTTTCCATACATATTTTTGATTGTATTCCCTCACTCTAGTAGAAATCTCATTCCCTTGTAGGTATGTATCACTCTAATCTGTGCATAAGAAGTGTTAGCAAAGAACCATACTCCCCTCACTCAAGACAGTCTGCTGTACTGAAAAAATTGTGAGCTTTGGAGTCCAAGTAAACCTGCAATACCCCAAACTCCCCAGGAACGCTAGATGCCAGACTTGAGATAAATTATTTAACTTCTTTGACCCTCAGTTTCTTTCTTCATCTGTAAAATGGTAACATTAAAGTTATCTCGCAGGTTGCTTGTGAGGATTAGAGATAATATACATTATTTCACCCTAGTGCCATGCCTGGCACTTAGAAGGCACTCGAGCAATATGTCCCCTCTCCTTTTCTTTCACTTATACACAGCCTCAATGTAAACACAGACCACATTCTACCCAATTTTGAGACCCTCAGAGAACCTAGCATCTTGCTTTAAACGTGGTAAATATCAAATACACATAAGCAGAATGAATTAATGAAAACAGACTGTCATAAGGACATTATCAGTGTAGCCATTTGTGGTACATGAGTTTCATTTATCTAAGGCTGATTATATAATATTTTGTTTTTGTGTAAGGCAGAAGGGTCCTAAAATAAGAATTTTTTTAAAACTAAGCCCTACATTTTCATCCTAAGTTTTACTAAATTCTAACAGGAGGAGATACATATTCAGAAATCAATTGTCCTAAAGGTAAGAATTTACAAAGGCTCTAAAATAAATTTCTTAAAAACAGATTTTTTTCTTTTTCTCCACAACTTAGTCTTTTATATGTCATTTAATAATTTTAAAATATAAGGAATAACCATGGTCTCATAGCAAGGTTTTCTTTGGCTCTAAGAATATGCCTGATTATGATGATCTACTTTTAAAAATCATTATTACGATCTACTTTGCTTCTACCTATTTATTAAATTACCACTGACAAAGGAATGAAGTCTTAAAATCTGTTAAACCTGAAGGCAACTCACCATGCTAAGATTTTTTTCATAATAATAGCATAAGTCTTGGTCAGCTGTGGACATGGTAATGATATACACATGTAATTACAGTACAAATAATCAAATCTACTCCACATCCACAAAGAAAATGTGGGATAATAATGATAAATTAGGTAAGCTGAAAATTTTAATACCTCTGGAGCAGAAACTGTAGTAAAATTTTGCAACAAAGTTTTGGTTAAAAATTTTGTACAATAACATCTTAAGAGTTATGCTACGTCTGCATTTCAGCAGATCAAACTTCTAATCATGCAACTGAAAATCAAGTTAATATGTAAATGAACCCTGAAAGCACAGACACGAATTTACTAAATTTTACAAAAGTGCAAGTTGAGTTCTGTAAATGGAATTTAAATTAAAACATTTATAACATAAATCAGGGGTAGGCAAACTACCAGCCAGCTGCCTGATTTTTATATAGCAAGTGAGCTAAGAGTGGTTTTTCACATTTTTAAATGGTGNTTCTGTAAATGGAATTTAAATTAAAACATTTATAACATAAATCAGGGGTAGGCAAACTACCAGCCAGCTGCCTGATTTTTGTATACCAAGTGAGCTAAGAGTGGTTTTTCACATTTTTAAATGGTGGGGGGGGGAGGGGGAAGGGCCAAGAATAAAAAAATAATATTTTTTGCCACTGAAAATCTTATGAAATTCAAATTTTAGTATCCACAAATAAAGTTTTATTGGGACACTGCCATGTCTACTCAATTACCATCTATAGCTGCCACAGAGATCCACCGCCTGCAGTCTGAAATACTGACCATCTAGCCCTTTACAGAAAATGCCTGCTGACCCCAATACCTTGCATCATCAGATTTTACAGCCTGTTAAGCCTTAGCTCTAGAAATCAGAAAAGTAAAAACCTAATTTTTCACATTATGTTTTTTTTCCTGTACATCCTCCATCATNACCTTGCATCATCAGATTTTACAGCCTGTTAAGCCTTAGCTCTAGAAATCAGAAAAGTAAAAACCTAATTTTTCACATTATGTTTTTTTTTCTGTACATCCTCCATCATAAAGAGGCCTAAATTTGGGGGGACGGGCAAGTAATCAAGTTGAAAAAAATGCAACTATGGAAACTGACTTTACTTTTCTCTGACCCTTTAAAAAATTCCCAAGCCGGCCAAGAGGAAAAGATTTCTATTTCCCGCGGAGTTCAGGGAGAAAACCCGTGTGCGTCCGCTGGACAGTACGTCGTCTATCATCATGATTTAAGGGGGAAGCTGCTCTGGAGGAAACGGTGCCATTACTTGCCAGGCTGCACGCCGTGGCCTCGTGCATTTTGTACCCGGATTTAGCGCGAGTCCCGCGCAGGGCGGGAAGGAGGCCGGGAAGCCGGGGCTTGCTGACGGCGATGCTGGCGTGCCCGCTGGCACTCGGGGTAGACAGCGGTTTAAAAAGACTCATTAAAAAACACTTTCCAACTCTTCTGCCAGAAAACCGCCTGGCGGTGGTATGTGCTTGTTCTGCTAGGACAGGAGAAAAGGAACAGACATTTGTCTGGCGTGGGACGTGCGGAGCGGCGAATCCCCCCACCTCGGCTGGAAGCCCTGAAGCGGGCTGCCGAGGCGGCTTTTGGAGTATTTACGTGTTTTTTAGGAAGGCCAGCGCCGCCTCAGCTGCCTCGCCCGCACTGCGCTGGCCAGGCGGCGGCACGCTCGGCCTAGCGCCAGCGGCCATCAGCGACCAGACTCCCCAGCCCCAGCTCCCGGCTCGGCCTCGCCTCCCAGGCACTTCCCGCACTGCGCGGGACCAGCTGAAGGCGGAACCGCCATTTTAGGTCCGGGCAGAATCCGGCCTCTCCAACCCGCGCCAGGTCCTCGGCGGCCACGCTCCCTGCGCAGGGCCTCGGCCACTCACCCGGACCTTCGCTGAACTCGGGCCCCGTGCGGTTTGTGTCGCTGAACACGGTCCGGCTGAAGTTTCCCAGCCGCAGGCGGACCGGCGCGGGCAGCTCCATGGCC